CAAACAATTCCAAGGAATTGAAACAGTGGGAACCGGTTCTCAACAAGAACCGGGTTTCGATACCCATCCCTACCCCTGATCTAGTCGAACATTCATACAAGCACTTTTCTTTGCAGGAGTGCTGGACTTTTTTCATATTTTAACTAGTCAAGACTTTTTTGATGTATTACAGATTCTGATTTATTTTGATGGTAATAAAGGTCTGTGAAAATTTCAGTCTTTTATCTCTAAAATGTTTTTAGATGTTCAAACATTGCCTTAGATATCAATGTGTGAACAAAAGGCCTGAAAGTGGGTTAACAGACACATCTACCCATTGTCTTACACTTATCCAGTTCAGGGTCTTGGAAGGTTTTGTGCCTATCCCAGCTGCTGTGGAGTGAGAGTCAGCGTACAGCCTGGTCAGGTCACCAGCCTGTCACGGTGCTAATACAACAGTTCTGACCACGATGCAGTCATAATATTTGTGGGCAGTCTCATCAGCAACATGGTCATTCCAGCCAAGACAATAATAGTTTAGTATCAGAAATGAAACTGATCACAACAAATAAAAAAAGCACATCATTGATAAACTGGATCTGGGTCCCACTTCCACCAACAAAGTGGTTACACAAATTTGTCTAGAGTGTTTTCATTGTCTTATTTTTTCACACAGTCCACTCTGTTTTAATTTCCCCGCAGGAAATTACTGTTCTTGTTGGTGTGATTGATGAAAGCAAAACTATTGAAGTACTAAAATTCCAATTAATTGAACAGATCAAATGAGCATTGTTATAGAGTTCTTTAAATATAATTCAGTGACTTGCTGAAGTGGTATTTGTTGGTAATGTCTTCCAGAAAACACATGTCCTATAGGATGGAGTAAGTTCAACCATAACTGCTATTACCTCTCTGAAATATCTGATTCCTGGAATGCAGCCAGAATGGACTGCAGAGCCAGAGGAGGAGATCTGGTGGTTATTGACAGCCCTGAAGAACAGGTACAGTGTTTATGTATATGAAAGGCCAGGAGTGACAAAATGAATTAATTAAACACACCATTAAATAATTAATTAAATGTTTCATTAATTCATTAAAATTGGAATAAATAAATAAATAAATATTTAAGTAATTAATTACATGCCTATTCATCTATTTAAAACATTTAATAAATTATTTAATGATGTATTTTTTTAATTTATTTTGGGACTCCTGACCCTCACCCGTAATTATATATATATAAGGACTTCGATTACAACTGGGACCACTGTTACCTTCACCCTCCATCATCTTCCCGAGCTATTTCTCGAGCTTCTCGTGTTCCTTCTTTCTGATGTTGCT